GTGTGGAGAGTTTCTTGAAAATTCAGATTATGTAACAATACAAAGCTACATTAGCATTTATGTACGCACATATATTGTTGATTCTTACACTCGAGAATTTTCTACAACTTTGGAGAATAGGTGGGAGTTTCACAATACACATTTAACAGCATACATTTCTAAATATAAATTTAATTTAAACAAATATGAATATTAAAATAAATATATAATAATAAATTTGTCACATATGTAATGTGAAAGTCCTAACTGAAAAAATCAATTCAAGCATGGAGATATCATATTACAAAGAAATGATCATGATTTTCTTTTATAATTGATTGACTTCACAACATCAGATGCCCCTTTAATTGTTAAAATGAGTATTCAGCAGTATAGACTTGGATTACAATGCACAAAACAGATGTGGACCCAAGTGGTAACTAAGCAGTAACAGAAACTAAATTAACTGCTTGGGATTCCATCTAGCTTGAAGAAGCACAGTTAGGAAGAAGCTTATAAGCAATGATCAAAAAATAAATATACAAGAAAAAACAATTTGTAGATATGTTAACATAACAATGTTTAGGGACAACAAGGGGCCTATTGATCCATCTAGGCTGTCTCATCCTCTAAACTAAAATTATTAAATAAAAAAGAAATAAATAAAATAAAAAACCTCAAAGACAGCCATTATCACTCGTATATTTATCAAGCTTTTTTTAAAATTCACTGTCTCCATAAAATCTGAAGACAATCTGTTTCAAAGGCCAACCACCCTGTTAGAAAAATGAAACTGTCTTAGCTGAAGATGACTCCTTCTCTGCCAAAATTTATATTTGTGTTCCCTAGTCCTTCTATTCTCACTGTTAAATATAAAATAGATGATGCATCAACACTATCAATTCCCTTAACAATCTTAAACATCTCAATCAGATCCCCTCTAATTTTTCTTTTTTCAAGAGAAAACAATTTCAAAGATCTTAGCCTCTCCTCATATGAAAACCCATCCATCTCAGGCACCATTCTAGTAGCCCTCCTATGAACATTTTCCAACAATCCAATGTTCTATGGTAAGAAGCCCAAGACTGAACACAATACTACAAATGTGGCCTAACTAGTGTCCTATACAATGAAATTATAACCTCTTTAGACTTGTATTCAATATTTCTGTAGATACAACCTAAAATCCTAACTTCCCTACCTCTAACAACAGCACACTGCTTGGATAGCTTAAGAAACTGATCCACCAGATACCAAGATCCATTTCTTTCATAACACTGTTTAGATTATTCCCATTCAACTTATATTTATAATTCAAATTATGATACAACATATGCATTATATTGCATTTATTATAATTAAAACCCATCTGACATTTATTCCTCCAACTCACTAAATGATCTAAATCCTTTTCTAAAGCAGCAACATCCAAGACCTTAATATCATCAGCAAATTTAAGTAATTTATTGATCATTCCTTCATCTATGTCATCAATGTCAATCAAAAAGAGCAAAGGTCCTAAGACTGAACCCTGAATTACCCCACTTATGACATTAATCCAGTTTGACTGAACTCCATTTATAACAACACTATGCTTTCTTCTATCCAGTTAGCTAACTTCTCCCCAATACCTAAAGAAATAACTTCTTTATAAGCCTTTTATGTGACACCTTGTCAAATGCTTTCTGAAAATCCAGATACACTAAATCTACTCCCTTACCCTCATCTATATAAGCAGTTACCTTTTCAAAGAATATCAAAAGATTTGTAAGACAAAATTTTCCCTTAGGGAAACCGTTCAATATAATTATAAATTTTGTTAAATTACTTTGCAAAGCATCTATTATCAGACTTTCCAAAACATTCCCTCAACTGGTACAAGACTAATAGGCCAATTATTACTATTATTTTTATTACCTCGCTTGAAAATAGGAGTAACATTAACCAATTTCTAATCCTCTGGCACCTGCCTACTATTCAAGGACTTACAAAGAATAGTAGCAGGTGGCTCACATGTCCAGTTCTTAACCTCCTTCAAAACCCTTGAGGTAGTATTAACTGGCCCAGAAGCCTTATTGTTCTTTAAACTTCCCAATTTTTTCTTAACAAGCTCAGAATTAATGTGATCATCTTGTTCAATCTTGTTTCCATCTATCAACTGTTCAAGATGATGAATATTGCTTAAGTCTTCATTAGTAAAATCTGAAGAAAAAGCAGACTTTAATAACCCAGCCATCTCGTAATCATCAGATATGAGCCTTCCTTTATAATCCTTCAAAGGCCCTACCCCCATCCTAACATTTTGTTAACCCTTAATGTATTTAAAGAAATCATTACTGAATTTATAGATTTTTAGCCAACCTTTCATAATACATACTTTTTGATGTCCTTATTTCCTGTTTGACCAACTTTCTTGATCTTCTATAATCTTCTTAATCTCCCATCATATCAGTCAATTTAAATTTCTTAAATTTGTGATGCTTTTCTTTACTTTTTATCCCTTATACCCTTTGTTTGCCTACCTGGTTTTTTACTTGCAGCCACACTTTTCTCTCTATAAGAAACATGTTTATCTGAAATATTTAAAAATTTATCTTCAAAGATTTTCCACATTTGATCAGTGTCTCCAAATAACCCAGCCGCCCAAATCACAACAGATTATTCTTATCACATCCCTTCAAAATTTGCTTTTTAGAAATTTGTAACCAAAATATTATTCCTTATCTCCATATGCAGTGAAACATGAAACCTAATAGAGCAAAGATCACTTGCGTCAAGATGTCCCCAATTTGATGGTCTGTAACAAATTTCTACTAAAAACCTTTTTTCTTCATATCCACCAATAGAAACCCAAATGGATTCAATTTCTTTGCTATTATATTTGATATCCTCAACTTCAACAGGATGTAATCACATTTTACATTAAATAACCTATAATCCTGTATTTCAAAGAAATTTATGTAATCAAAATCATCTACATTTAGGTTCTCCATCCCTATCAGTGCTCTAAATTCATCTATTTTATTTCTCATACTTCTAGCATTACAATAGTAACAATTAAACCTACTTTTAGAACTACTTCTATACTCATTTCGTATGCTAAACTTTTCTCTACATCTTACTTTTCACATTTTGTTTATACTTGTCCTCACCACTGTCTAGTCCTAGTTTGAAACTTCCTTTACCAACTCGTGAAAAACTTATAATTTAATCCCCACGATTAATTCTTGGCAGTACCCCTGACACAATTAAGTTATGTCCCTTTTTTATATGCTTTTATTAATCCCTTGTACTTATCAATTATCTCCTCTGACCTACTTTTCCATACATCATTAGCCTCACTGTTCACAACAAAAACTGCATCACTGTTAGCCCCCTTATTATATTTCTTCTTCTATCAGTTACGTCCTCCACCCGTACCCCTGAGTATCATAATCTAATTATTTTCTCTCTATTTACCCTTCAGACTATTCTATCCACATACTTTGTCATAGAATGTATAACCTAATTAAGTTTATCATTAAATTGGAGATAAATGCACCAATTATGTATGGTAGCCCAATAAACTTAACAAAGCATCAGCAGCAAGAATGAATGTACTATTACTTGAGCCATCCTGGAAGAGAACTAGGTTTTTCAGATAAGGCACAAAAAACAGCCAGTCGTGAATCTCTAGACATCAAATGTTGATGTAAAAATGCATGTTTAAAGTTGACAAAGATGTTTACATACTATTAATGAGACTGATTCCCTGTGAAAAAGATAACATAATAGAGAATCCATTGTTGAGCTGGCCAAAGTGGACAATGAGAGAACCCAGCAGTTCAAGTACGAAAGGAGGAAGAGAGTAAGGTAAGCCTAAGAAATACTCCCAAGATTAACTCAATGCATCCACTTCCAGAGAATTTAGATCTGCATCTGAAGTACTAGAGTGACAAAAGTCAGTTGTCCAATGTAACAAAGGCATCTATCTTCAGACAATGCAGCCATTTGCACAGCCACTGAAAAATTAAAGGTTGGAGGGTCCACTCCATAAGGAGAAACTGATGACCTAAAAAAGAGAATATGCCAAAATGTTCATCATACCAGGAACACGAAAGGCTCAAAGGTAAACATGTTCAGAATAAAGCCTAGGAAGGGGAGGAACTGCAGTAAAGGAAATGTAAGCCATCACTGTAGAATTGTCTGTGTGAATAAATGTAGAATGGTTCTGATCTCATGGTTTAAAAAATACATTTAATGAGTGTTAATTTATACTTCTTTGCTTTATTGTCTTAAATCAGTAGATCCTATACACTTAGAATTTCAATATAGATATCCTAGATGTAATTCTAGGTAAGTAGGTTCTACAATTAGAACCATAAAATCCAGAATTAGAGAACACACTGATTTAAGATCAATAAAGCAGCAAAGTATAAAACAACATGCATTAAACATAGAATTGTGATATAGAAAGAGCAGAAACTCAAGACAAGCATGCTGAATAATCTAAAGTTCTAACATGCTGATGTGAGCTGTTGTTTCCTGAGGAATCCAGAAATCAGACTTATGCTGCTTCTCCAACACAGCATCCCAACCAGTGAGGCAACCATTTGCAAAAATAGGAAGGTGTATAAAATGAGGAGGAAAAGAAGATCCTGCTGTCATAAGATCTCTATCCATCCAAAACTGGAGAAGCATGAGTGATGGAAGAAGTATTTATGCTGTATGACAATGGGTATAAAGTCAGATGTCACTGAGAAGCACATTGAGTATGCTCTGAGGAAGAGACTTCATAAAGTGAAGCCATTGTTCCCAAAGCACAAATGATGTATTTGTGGTAGGTGTGGAACACAGAAGAGACTGTCCATGAAACTACAAAGTTTACTATGCCAGGAGACTGAACTGTATTGGCTCAAAACCCTGAACATACCAAACACTGTTTTGCTACTAAAGGGAATTGGCATTGTGAATAATATATTCAAGAGATGTAGCCAGCTGAGTGATCAACTGAGTTTATGAAGGAGACTGAGTAGACAACATGATAAGAATAAGCCTACTGTCCATAAAAAGTGAAAGTTGATGTCATGTGGATATAGAAGAACAGTAAATGTTTTTATTATTCAACAGGAAATATATATAAGGCTGAAGGGAAGAGTAGTAAACTAAAAATTACTCCCACTGGCAAAAATAGAGAAAATGATGGATGATGGATGTAACGGATATATTAGGATAAGCATCCTGTATATCAACCTTTGTCATCCAACATCATGTTTTCCATTTTGAAACAAGGTGTCTCAGGTAAAGTTTGTTTGGGAGCAAAGCCACACTGCAGGGAACTGAAACCTGGATTTTACCATGGTAAGTCCATAAACTTACTGTAGTCCCACTGGGGAATGACTCCAGGTAAAAATTAAGTTGGCACATGTCTTCAGTCACTGGATGTCTCTAGAACTATAAAGAGATTAAAGTAAAAACTCGGAGAAGCATGATAAACAATTTTGACTGCCTGGTTCAGAATGTGGAAGCAAACTGAATTAACAGGTAAAGACTTTGAGTGAAAATAAAGAGAAGAAGGATGAGGGCAATGAAAATTTTGAAACCCCAAATCCCATGTATGAAAAAATTACCCAAGATGAACATCTAATAGTCTGGATGGAGAATTCATCTCGAATAGAAGAGTAATGGAGTGGGTCAAGGTCAAGAAGCCCTATCTTACTTACTTCTATGTTTTGCCACTTGAGAAAAGAAATGAGCAGAAGTAGCAGACATTGAATGAGAAAAAGAAGAAGGAGGAAAGGCAAGGACGAACATTATCTGCTAGTCATCTTGAAGAGGAATGACAACCTGAAGTAGGGAAAGATGCTAAAACCCTAATGAGTCCCTATTAGCATGCTTCTCTTGAACATAAATATTTTGGATGAAATTCCTATAAAACAAAATTAAGTAGAAAAGAAACCCTTTCAAGATCAGCTGAAATGTTGTGTGTGTGTGTGTGTGGGAACAATCAAGAGCCTTTCAATGCATGATTAGCTAAAATGTCAAAGAAAAATAAGTTCTATGTGCTAATAAAATATATATATCAGTGAAAGTAGCTAACACCTAGATAACACTGAAGAAGAAAGTCTCAAAATAAGACAAATCAGTGCAGGGCACTAAAGTGTTGATAGGTAAAAGAGGAAGGACACATAAAAGAATCCCCAATAACTGAGCTAAGTGTAAAAACAAACTTGCTAAAAGGCTACCTGCATGACAAATGCAATGAATGTAAGGCTTAATACCATTTTTCTGATTTTGAAAAGCATTAGCAATGGATCTGAAAATCAGAAGAAGGTGGAAAATATAAAGATTCAAGAACTGAATTGTCCAATATTACACTAGCACCCCTGCATGTATGCATAACAAAAATTGGTTTAAGAATTAAATAAAATATAACTGAGAAAAAAGCAGAAATTAGACAAGCAATTATAAAAGCTACTTTGGGATTAGAACTAGCTGACAGAAAGTAAACAGTCTGAGCAAAAGACTGTTCATGTTAAACATCATAAAGAAAAAAAAAGAGCTATTACATAATTTGAACATCCACATCATCATAAGACCCATCAAATACACCAGCAAACAATTGGTCATTAATGCCACAAATACACTGATTAATAAGGGCTGATAATATAGCCATGGAATCTCCCTAAACACTACAGGCAGACTCTGTAAATATTACCTCCAAAGAAGTTGTAGAATTTCTGATATTGGTAGAAGCATAAGACCCATCAAATACACCAGCAAACAATTGGTCATTAATGCCACAAATACACTGATTAATAAGGGCTGATAATATAGCCATGGAATCTCCCTAAACACTACAGGCAGACTCTGTAAATATTACCTCCAAAGAAGTTGTAGAATTTCTGATATTGGTAGAAGCATTTGTGTCTGAGTTATCATTGACTTTAGAAATCACTGTGAATGAAGTTAACATGACAACTGTCAACAAGAAAATCTGAGCTATTGTAGGAAAACAGAGCTTATGTATATTCTCTTGAAGTCTTGTGAAAAGTGGGAGGGTAGAGAACTCTGGGTAAGTTGACACATGCTCTGCATTATGTCAAGGACATTCAAAAATCTAAAGTCACATGACTGTTAACTGCATTAGACCAACTCAATAATGAAAAGCTTTTAGTATTGCAGAGAAAGATCAGATCTGGTTGAAATTAACCTCTCTAGCTATCACATAGATAATGACCATTAAACATCCAATGGTTCAATAGATCTCATTCTAATGGCCAAGAATATTCACTGACTTGCAGTTATAAGATTACTGTAGCATATGTCAGAAGATATATAATTAAATAATGGAAATACCTCAACATAATGTACTGTCATTCTACACTTTCATACATAATTGAACAAAAGGGAGTAAAAACATTTAAGATTTATACAAACCATGAAATAGGATGTGAGTTAGTATCTGAAATACATCTACTTTAGAACAAAATCCACATTTGGCAGGTGGAGAGGATGCTAATTTCAAATCCTGAAACATGATGAAATCTATAACATATATATCTGTTGAACTTACTAGTGTTTTCTTAACATTACCTGTTTTCTTCCTCCAGCTGATGAATCATGGTTTCTAACTCTTTTTGATGGTCAGCATCTACAGCAGCCAAAACTTGGGCTGGACTTCGGGGCTGAAACATCAAGCCACATTTGCTAGTTACAGGAACATTACTGCCTGACACTAAACTAACATTAAACAGTAATGGTTAAAAAAAGAACCTATATGATTAGAAATATTGTTAGATATATTGTTGAAACTGTGATCATTTTTAGAGTTTGTGTTAATGTATTTCCATATCTGAAATAGTTTTTTTCAACAAAAAATAAAACAAAACTGAAAGTTAGAATTTATTGATGATATAATGAAATTCAAACAGGAAGAGTGTAACAAATTTTTAAATAAAAAATAATTGTTAAAAAATATTTTCTGGTGTTCCTGTTTTGAGTTAGTGGAGTGATTTACAAAGAAATTCGATATCAAAACTTGCTTAATAAGTGTTATTATTGTTAATTTTATTTGTCTACTCCAGTTTGATGATAGCATAAACAGTACATGAATCATTATACTAGAAACACAAACAGCTATAAAAGTCAGTCATCAAACTGAAGAATATGTTTATTTGTATACACACTGCTTTCTTATAGATTTTTGAAATGTGTCCCATTGTGGATTACCATAATATAGCAAATACTAACTCAGTTCAGATGTTTTGTATACAATACTGTAATAACAACAAATCTGGAAACTGATGAAAAAAAGGACAAACAGTGGCATGTGGTGCATGTCTTCTGATACATACTATAAACTGATATTCAAGTACACTTGATCAAACACATTTCCACAACTTTCCAAAACCTCTTTTTCTTCTAGTAAAATTAACTTTCCAGCATTTATTTACTTGAACTTTAAATGATGAATAATTTTGTTTCCAAAAAAAAAAAAATTGCAGAAGTATATTTATGATTTGTTAATAACATTAGTTTATGAATATTGACAGGTCACACAACATAAGATCAGAACTGAAAAATAAAAAAAAAGGTTATACTGAGGAGAAAAACTTAGGTGTGAAAATGTGAAATAGACAAGCAACAAATCAGAAGATACTAGCACAGTGAAATTTTAAATGACTATAGCTATAAATTTAGATTATTTATGTATTCAGTTGGGCAATGGACACTCACTGGATAAAACGAAAGAAGACTATACACTTAAATATACAGTATATAAAAACTTCTATGGACTGGAATAGTTGGCTGGTATGACTTAGAAAGCATCCCAACAGGCAAGAAGTACTCCATGTTTCCTGTGATACAATAATTTGATCATTCATTTACTGATATCATTGATTTAATACAATACCTGCGTGTAGCAGTATTTGTAATAATGTTTTGATATGGAAGTTTTTTGTTTTTTTAAGTGTATTGTGTTGAGTATCTCGTATTAATCACAAGTTCCTCAAGAGACTGTTGTGCTGCACAATAAAAGTATCTTTAGTGAAACTCCTAGATGTATTATCTTTTACTTGTTAAAAATATAATTTTGATATCACCTCATTACATTCTAGAACTTTTGCATGACTGATAAGAAATATAAGAGTGAAGTTTTATTTTACATAGTTTAAACATTTTCAAACCTAGGAGGGTGATCCCTGTGATAAGTAGAAAGTTAGTTCGAGTTTGAATTTCAGGCAAGGCAATATATTGTCCCACTGTGGAATACATCAGTATATCAAAACTGATATTACAGGTGTGTTGGCATACATATAAAGTATAAATATTTTACATTTATACAAAAAGTATAGTGTTTCCCATAAGTAACATCTGATTTAAATGACAAACTAGCATATAATGTTGTCATGTATTCATGCTTCACTACTGTTGTTTCTACATTCTACAATATAAAAACTTAGTTTCTGAAATCCTACCAACATGAGGCAATGCATCAGTTTGAAATTTAGAAATATTTATGTATAAAATTTGCTGAACCATTGAAATTTCTTTGCTGTATTATATATATATATATATATATATATTTATATGGAAAACAATTAATAACTTCAAAATTTAATTTAAATCTAAAATAAACTGTTTAGTGTAATAAAAATAGCAACTGTCTAATGTGATGTTTTACTGGTCTCACAGAAAAGTAAGGTGATATTAATTAGTGTTTAGTCATCTTATGAATTCCTCTCTTTGATGGTTAAAAATCAATGGACTATTTAGATGAAAGCTTCCTTGAAAATATATACATATACTAAGAAGTAAAAGAAGTACAAAATTATACAATCTTAAAGTTTTTGAAAAATAGTTGAGTGTCCTATAAATAGCTTGAGCTTGTGTGACTCATGCTTTGAGATTAATAGCAGAATGGTCATATTTTATATAATTTTTACACTATATATACACTTTAACAATAGCACCAGGTATTTACTTTTATAATATCAAGCCTAACATTAATAAAGTTTTTATTTTAAGTACATCTTTTGTTTAATATTATAAAATAAATTTAAAAGTTAATAATGTATCCTATACTACAATACCAATTATCAGTGTTGATCCATTTTTTACTCTACTTGCAAAGATTTCTTTAAGAAACCAGTTATCCAGCCATTAATTAAATTGTTATAGTATTTTTATAGATAATGATACTCATTTACATTCTCAGCAACTAAAATCCAATACAACAAACTTTAAAACATAACAACAATATTTAATTTAAAGCTGTGTTGAATGTAATGTAAAACTGTTTCAGATTCTAACAAGTATTTCAAAACTTGAACATTAAATTGTCTAGTAAAGAAACTTTCCATAAATTTCAAATTATATGGCAGAGCTTTACTATTTAATAGGTCAAAGCCTCTAGCAAAAGCTCTAAAAGGTAAATTGAAATTACTAATAGCTTTACTTTAATTGGGATTACTAAATTAAAATATGCATGCAACAATATCATTTAGTCAAAAATGTCATTTTACTTTATAGAGTTAGTCCAAATTATAGATCTCTAATGGAAGTATTTATATAACTGATTTTAAGAAATATCTTTATAACTTTGATAACTTATACATATATGTTATTTTTACAATAAGCAGAACACTTTAAAATGCTATATGCTCTAATGACATGTAAAGTATATATTAAGTATTTTGAGCCTTAAAAACATAAACAGCATAAGTGAAATTAGATTAGAACATTCATGAAATTCCAGTAACAATCAGTTTTTGACAAGACAGAAAAAGAACATGAAACATCAGCTTACAATGGATTGCACATTTTCTTCAGAAAGTGTTTGACAATACTGAGCTATCAATTGGTGTTCATCCTCACTTCTAAATAAATAAATAAGAACTGCTCCTTTTATCTTTCCACATGAAATACAAAACAATATCACTATTTTAAATACTTTGCTAAAATAGAAAAAAAATGACTTAATGACTATGGAGTTGTGATTGAAGTTGTAACAATGAAAAAAGAAGAATTTGGAAATACTACTCACATCTCTGTACCACAAATAGCTATAACCTCATATGAATTACTGTGTAATTTCCTGCACATGCCATAAGCCTTGAATAAAGATCCAACCCCTCCACATGTCAACATGTATTGTGTCAGCCTATGATATAATCATCACTAGACTATAACTCTCTATCAGTAGGAGGGGGACACAACCTCCATGCACAGCAAACCCCATGAGCTCTAGCACATGGACACAGATTCATTCTTTCCTTAGCATTAGTTGTCTTCAAATACATTTTTTTTTCAATTTGATTTAATGTAATTTTTGTGCTTGTTGTTTTAACCTTTCATTACTATTCTTTCCTTAATTTTCTGCATGGCCTAGTGGGTAGGGTACTGAACTCACAAACTGTGGGTTGCAGGTTGGAATCCCTGCCACTGAACATGCTCACCCTTCCAGTTGAGCTGTGGGGACATTATAATGTGATGATCAATCCTACTATTTGTTGGCAAAGGAGTGGCCCAAGAGTTGGAAGTGGGTGGTTTTGACTAGCTGCTTTCCCTCTAGTTTGTCACTGCTAAATTAGGGATGGCTAGTGCTGATAGCCCTTGAGTAGCTTTGTGCAAAATTCAAAACAAACCAAACCAAACTTAATTTTTTGATTATATGAAAGAATTATACTATATTTTACACTTATCAGTTAGTACTTTCATTCAAATTATCTTTAATTTGATTTTCTTTTAACTGACTTTGTACTTTTGTTACATATGTCCCATTATCTGTTCCCATTGTTTTATCTAACATAAGTTTCATCCAGTACTCTTCAACATCATCATTGGGCTTAGGAACCATCATCATACCTTGCTCATTTTTATTCTAACTAATAACAAGACAAAAACAATCCATCATCTTTATATTTTACTAAAACATACCACTACAACATCAGTTTCATAAATTAACTGGATTACGCATTCTTGTTCTTACATTTCTATTTCTGATATCTTCCAAGGTTTTTAACATTGCTTCACAGAAGTCCTCTAATAATATCACGGTGACTGGAAGCAATGACGGTCACTGATATTACTACCATTCTCAGACCCTCTTGTTTTTCTGGCTCTGGACTATTTCTTTTGAGCCCACAATATTAAGTTGTTAATCTATTATGTCTCTAATGCTCTGGCCCTGGTGATGGAGTGATTACATCATTTATGCCCGGACCCTTCCCACTCAGTGGTTTCTTCATTCTCTGGTATTTTTGGTGTATATGCTCCCACTGTTAGTGCACTACAATCATCACTGTCTTTCGATCTTCCCTATACTCTTTGCTTTCACTCATTTAGTTTCCAATCCTAGTTCCTACAACAATGGCTGAAGATACTCTGTGTCTGAAGTGGTTTAACCTGCTTTTATATGCTTGAGTCATACTTCTTCCCTTTCTCCCTTGTGGGTGCAGGTATTTACTTTTGTCTTGTCCTCCTTCCACACTATTTGCTACAGGGGCAGGTTCAAATTCTTCCTTGACTGTTCCAAACTTTGGATGGTTTGGGAGGGTATTTGAATGTTTTCTCCATTCATCCTCCCTTCCTTTTCTTTTTTGTACGGCATAGATGGCCAACTAGCAACATGTGAGCCAAATCTTACCCATGAAGGTATTTTATCCAGCTCCTGTTTTTTTTTAATCATATTTTATTTTGGCAAACTGGCAAAACAAAAACAGAAAATGAAACTGTTACCAAGCAAACCAATCCCATGATGGTTCTATGAACATTCTTCAAATGTTAATTCAGTAATTTAAACAAAACTATATAATTACCTGAGGATCTGTAGTACACAGTAGGAATTAAAATTTAAATTAAACAAATACATTACTTTACTCAGTCATATATTATAAGGCCCCAGACTACAGTCTAGGTAAGAAAGTGGCCCATGAACGTAAAGTAATTTGCCATCCCTACTGGCATTTGTCTTCCTCCAGTTGCCATTCTCCTCTGTTCACAATGGTTCTGATGGTGAGTTATTTTTCTCCTTTCCTTTCCAGGTCTAACAACC